GGGGGGGGGGGGGGGGGGGGGGTTCGGGGGGAATTCGGGATGGGGTTCGGGGGAAGTTTAGGGCAGGGTAGAGGCGGGGTTTTAGAGGCGGTTCGGATAATATAATGAATGACACAGGGAGGGAGGACACCTCGCAAAGCTGCAGGTTGCAGCTCCCACAAATTCAATAAACTGGGGCTTAAAGAACACTTTTTTGGCTCTCTCGACGGACCGCCAAATGGGGCTAGCTATTCGCGCAAGACGCTGATGACACTCCAGGGGCAAAACCAAACCCATGGCGCATGCGAAAAACAAGGAGACGTTTCTCTTGGGAAAGTGAAAGGACCACACACAGCCTCCCCGCATACTGCAGAATGTGCTATAAATACCACCCAAGATTTTTCGCAGTTAAGAAGCGGTCAAGAATCCTATAATAAAACCTATACATATGTCAGGGAACACGACGCTAAAAACAACTTACAAATAAACATCAGTGAGAGGTGAAGGTATGCACCCCCAAAAGGGGGGTAAGACATGTGACATGGCAGTTGGGGTCGTCAGATTGGATTTGAAGAGGTATGATTCCCCAAAGGGTACAAGAGCTCTTGCTAAGACCCTCTGAGCCTCTGGTGGAAAGACTTCATCCTCCTTAAAGCTTGTCAAAGAGATTGAGTCAAGCTCGAAAAACCACTGCGAAGCTTGAACTTTCCTGGGGACTAACGTTTGGGCTCTGTGAACTACCTCGTGTGTAAATTAGCAAAATTGCACATAATTTGCCTCGCACGCGCCCTGCATTCTTCGTTAGCCCTGCGACGAAAATCTTTGAGGCATCGTCAGGACTACTGTCTCTGTTTAGGGATACCTGGCGTATGTGGTACACGGCATCGGCGGGCTTGAGTGCATCGCCAGTCCACTGTTTCGCGAACCCGGCCTCCGGGAGACGTGTAAGATGGTACAAAAGCCCAAGGAAGTATATGCCAGCGGTCGCACCTAAAAGACAGGCTTCGATACTTTTTCGCGTCGTTGCAAACACGCGGGAGTCTAACGTACCTGACACGCCACCAGAAGAGCCGTGTTGCCGTGCTCGTCCGTTGTGTCAATCGAGAACCCCTTCTCCAGGGAGTCCTCGACCCGCTTCAGCCGCCCGTTGCGGACCTGACTAAACACCGTCTCCACGTCGGGGGCGGTGTCCCCCCGGTTCTGGTCGGCAAATTCCTCGCGCTCGACGACGGCCTAGGAGAGGAGGGGGGGGAGGGGGGGGGTCAGGTATTTGGGGTGTGGGTAGCGAGTAACTTGTTGCTTGGTTAGTTGGACGACTTCGAGCAGAGGGGCACAGTCGTTGGAGCACGAAAAAGGGCATATGGATATTGACTTATGTCTGTCGAATCCCGACGATTCGTCTCAATAGTTAGTTGCAACGTTCCCCGTAGAACCGTGTTTTCCAGGCTCAGACTTTGATATTGTTGGAAGTATTTGGGCAAGAGATGCTGCTATATGAGTAGCATTGATTGCGTTCGGTCGACGCAAAACTGGTACCGACACCATGCCCCTTTAAGAGGAGCACATCCATTGTCTACCAAAACTGCGTGGTCGTAGTGCCGTCGCCGCTCGTCGCTGGCGTTCGACCTGGGCGATTTCGCGTTTTTCCTTTGGAAACTACGCCCCATGTTATCCCCCGGGAGTGTGAGAAAATATTCGAAGACGAGAATAAAATGAACGAATGAAAGTGACCAAATTGTCGCGACAAAAGAACAACAGGTTATTATTTTGTTGTAGTGTTCGTGGCGTGTGATGTAGATAGATGGTTTTGCGTTTGCGGCTGACAGAAACACAAAAGCAACAATAACAGCGACAGTAACTACAATTACATCAACGAAAACAATAACAACGGCGCAGACAACAATGACAACGATCACATCATCAGCAACAACAGCAACAATCCACCTGCCACCAACAGCATCCCCCACCTTCTTCCTCCGCTCCTCCGCCCCTAGGGGCCGGAGCTTGTCGATCGCCAAGAACAATTTCTTGGAGTGCAGCGCGTGCTCCACCCCGAGCACGTCCGCGCAGTCGTTAGCATCCAGCGCCAGCAAGAAATCGCCGTCCACCGCGGCCTCCTCGAAAGCCGCCCGGTACTGCCGCAAACCCAGGGTGGTGAGGAAGAAGCCCACGTCCTCCTTCGTCCAGAACCTTACCTCTGGCGGGAAGGGGTGCGCGTTTGCCTCTTCCATCTCCTCCTGCGCCTCCATCTTCTCCTGCAGAACTTTGTTCTTTCGACCGATCTGTGGGGAAAGGGGGGGGAACGACTTGTTTTTGCGTCCCAGGACCGTGGTCGACAAAGAAACAGTTTGAGACGGCAACAGCAACTTTAGTCCGTTCCTGCTATCAGAAGAGCAACACTCGGACGTTACGCTTCGTCTTCGAGTCGTACGTCTGGACGCACTACTGCCGTGTCAAACTCATCGGACGTTACGCCTCGTGCGCGAATCCCACATCAACCACTGTGTCAGCCTAACTTCGGAGAGACCGGACGGTGGCGGAGGCGAGGTTGGGGGAAAGAGCGTCAGTCGGTCCAAACTTGTTCCTCTCACCTCCTGGGTGGTCACGTCTGCGACCGACTCCATGATCTTGCCGGCCTTGATGGCGGGAATGTTGGCGGCGGCTGCCGAGGCCGCCGCCGCCGCCGCTGCGTCCGCGCTCGAAGTGACGGCCGCCGTCGTCGTGTCCGCATTGATGTCCCGCATGGTCTTGAGCATGTTGAGGCTGCTAAAGTAGCTGAGGGACATGGACATGAACTGGAACTTCATGAGCTCCTCCGTCTGCGAGTACATCTCCGAGGAACGCTCCTCGTGGTCCCTCGCCCGCTGGGCGGTGGCGCTCGCCGCTGCCGCTGACGTGGCTGTGGCAACCTTTTGTGTTTCGGGGGGGTAACGGGAGAGGCTTGAGAAGAGGTGAGGAGGAAAATGAGGTGGCTATCGTGGTGGCGGTTTCGTAAACGGGTTCTATCGCGTCGTACGGCGTTGCGTCTTGTATCTTGCGGGCTTACAGGTTGGTTTTGTTTCGGGGATATCCTACATCTCTCTATCTAGGTGGCTTTCATACGAAAGATGCGAGACGAAGGCCATTGGGAGCCTTGGGGCGTAGGTGTCCTTCGATCGTGCTAGAGCTGTAGGTCTTCACACACTACGAACGTGCTGAAGGCACGGCTGGCTGTTGCTTCTTTTGTTCTTTCTGTTGCCGGGTGTTGCGTTCCTCGGACGAAAAAGTCTTTCTGTCGTCTATCCAGCACCTCCTCGTCCGTACCAGCACGGTGAGGTGCAGCGTTTAAATTTCCATGCCACAACCCCAAATCATTCCAACTACGTCGATAATACTATTCAAGGTGTTGGCGTATCTCACTGCTTGCTACTGGTGTTGTTTGGTTTCAAAGTTCGTTGAAAGTAGAAACCGCCATTTCGCACGTACGTCCGACTTCTCAAACCCAGACTACAGCAAAAGCAGTAAATGAAAATGCACATAGTTACCTCGAGCTGTATTCCCTTTTCCTTGACGGCGTCGAGCTCCAGCTTCTGCTCCCGGAGAAGTTCCATCAAGTTGGCCTGCATGCGGCGGAACTCGACCGTCTTGCGCTCGCGGGTGTTTTCTATCTCGGTTATGGCGGCGGAAACGCGGTCTAACTCGCGCCGCTTCAGGTCCACCTCCTGCCGGACTCCCCTGAAATCGACCTCAAGCTCCTGTGAAACATGCACATGGTGTTGGTATGGTCGTCATGTTGCGTAAGTTATCTCACCGCAGTTTCGCTTTTTTCTCCCACCTCTCTCCCGCACACACCCCTGAAATCGGTCTCCATGCCCTGTTTTTTTCCTTCACTTTTACATCACGTTATTTTGAGAGAACGAATAGTGGATGCCGTCGTCGAGAAGAAAAGGGCCACAGCTAGAGGCGATGCTGACCTACGAAGAGGCTGGGCGTTCATGTGCAAGCGCAAGGGTAAACGTCTTGGTTGATTCATTCACGAAGCCCCCCCTTTTGGCTGGTTGCGGCAAGTTGTTGCTCGATGAGAACGCACCTCTCTTCAGTCAAACGTCTCTCTCTCTGTTCTCGTGTAGCTAGCAATCGGTGTCTCTACAACGAAAAACGTAATATAATTACCGTCCGTTGTGGACGTAGGCAGGCATTCTTTAACCAAAATAAAGAAACGGAACACGGCATTGGTTACGCCAGGTTCATAGTGAAACTGAAGATGAAAGTGCTTCTATCTGATACTTGGTCTTGGGCACAGAATGTTAATCGAGAATGCATTTGAACAACAATCAATACATTGAGATTTAGCAACGTCCCGCCCCCGCGATTCTTATGCCCCAACACGGAGCATGTTTGTCTCGCCTTCTCCGGCACACGGCTTCACCATTGAAGAAAACCCAACTTACGCTTACTTTGGCCCTTCCATCCTTTGAGAGCACGATTTTCTCGGGGAAAGGGAGGGGGAAGGTGTTCCGCAAAACAAAACCAGCAAATTGATCGAAAACCCCTATAACAAGCAAAATTGTTTGTCAAACTCCGAACCTAACCTGTCGCTTCTTCTCTCGCTCCGCGCGCTTGACCTGAATTTGCATCTCGATAGCAAACCCGAGATTCTTGTCGGCTGCGTCCCGTACGTTATCACCGCTCCGTACCCCTCCGCCCACGCCCCCACTACCACCCGCCCCCCCTCCAGACAGGGCGGGGGTGTCGATCCCTGGCATGGTCTCACCCGCTTGCATCAGACCTAGCTGCACCATGTTGCGCTGATGGTTTAGTTGGGACAGTTGACCCTCGATATGATCTGAAAGGACGTTGGGTGAGGGGGGGGATTCTAGTCGAGCAAGGAACCCGCACGTACTGCATTGTTGTTATTGCTGTCTGCTGCTAGCAGCCATCTGTCTTGTATGTTATTGTTGTGGCCGTGGTCGTAGCTGTTGTGGTTTCATACAAACTATCATCATAAAATCTCTTTAGGCCAGACACAGAAGCGGAACATAGTTGCCAAAACTACACATGTATATCGTTAGCACATGAGACCGCAGAGGAAAGGGTACTTTGTACTTCTATCTGCCTCCATGCCCCAGGCACGAAAACTGTTGGAACAAAGTTCAAACGTTTCATAAACGTCAGAGCGCGCAGGTACTGCTGTACCTTCGGTGTTCATACCTTGCGTGTACGATCGCTTTTCTCGCGCTTGACTTCGGCGAGAATAATCCCGTCCGCACCCTCTCAAACGCGTACAAGCAGAATAGTGTAGGAGTCCCATGCATACAAAAAATGCGCATTCCTTCTACTAGTCTTCGGTTATTGAAAGCAAGCAATACGACGCGCAAGCGGGCTGTCGTGATCGCCGTTGCCTGCTGTGTGCCTCCCTTGCACCTATGTTCCACACAGCTGGGAACAAATCTGTGAGCCGCACAGACCCACTGCTGCACCTTTACACGAAGTCACATTCATCCATCGGTGCAAATACTGTCTCACCGATCTCGTGCATCTCTCGTTCGAGGGCCGTCAGCTCCTTCTCACTCGCGCCCAGCTCTTTCCGTATCCGGCTCGTCCTGATCGCCGCTCGCTCCTCTGCCGTGTGCAGGGCGGCGATCTCCATCCGCTGGGCTTCAAAGGCGTTCTTGTTGTTGACAATGGACACGCGCGTGTGGGTGCACCGGGTTGGAACGGGTGGCTAGCTGGGGCAAGGAGCTTGGGTTGCAAGCGAAGGAACGGAGTTGGTCGCTTTCGCTTCGGAGGGAAGGTCAATTGGGTACCGTTCCGTGCGGGATCGTCCACCAACCGTCACTTCCTGAGGGCCGGCGAGTGTGGACAAGGGTTAAGGGTAGGAGTGGGATACTTCGACGACGGCTACAACAGGCAGGCCACCATCAAAGACAGCACAGTTGAGAGGACAATATGGCAGCCACGACGACAAGCCAACGATGCATGCTGGCAACGGCGGCGAAACCCCCTCCGTGAACGGTAGCAAAAAAAAGCTGTTCTCTCTCTCGCTCACTTTGGAGTCCTCGATTAGACGGACGCCGAGCTTGAGCCTCTCCGGCCCGGGCTCCGACTTCTCCCACTCCAACCTCCGCGAGGCCTTCTTCCGCCCGATCATCCCGCGGTAGCACCGCTGGATCTCTATGGCAGCGATCGACGTCGCCCGGCCACTTGCGTACCCGTCCATCGCAAGCTTGCACCTCCACCACGCCTGAATCCTGGTCGTCGCCAGGTTCCTCCGCCGGAGAGTTTCCAGCAGCGCTCGCTGGTTCGCGGCGCTCCTCCTGCCGAGGTGCCCGCGGTAGCACCTCTGGATGGCCCCCGCCATTACCTGTCTGCGTCTCCGCGCGGCCCGCCGCCGGCCGAGCATGCCCCTCCCCGCGCTCTGCAGGCGGATGGCGGACCCCCCGAGAACTAGCTCGGCTACGGCGGCCTCGCGAGCCGCGCGGGCGTGCTCCTTCGCCAGGTGGCCTCGGGCCACCGCCTGGACCTTCGTGGCGGCGGCGGAGAGCTGCCGCTCCTCGTCTCTCTGCAGCCGGAGTTGCCGAGCGCGCTTGCGCCCGAGGACTCCCCGCACGAGCGGCTGGAAGCGCAGGGCCGCCTCTACTCTAGCCCGCTCAAGCTCGCTCTTCGAGCGCTTCCGGAAGGCTTTCTTCGTGCCCAGGCGCCACGCGGCGGCCTCCGCGGCGGCCGCCGCTTGATCCCTCTGGAACTCCTCGACGCTCATCGCGCCGCCGCCCGTCGCTTTGCGTATTCGGAGCATCTCGGCCTCGTCGCGGGCCGCATCGTCCATGAGGGAGTACGCGTCGGTCGCTCGTTGGAGCTGCTCGGGGAGGTCATCCAGCGGGGAGTAGTCAAGCGGCGGCATCGCGCTGACGGGAAACGAAGAAGGAGGAGACGTAGAAGAAGCGTCAAACGCGCCGCCAACACCCCCTACCGCCTCTCCCTCTGCTACACCGTCGCAGTTGTCCTTCCGGCCGCGGGTTGATGCTGAAGACGTAGGTGGCGACGACGGCGACTTCGATGCAACCAAACCTCCTCGCACGATCGCATCGTCGACGTCCACACCGTCGACCGCCCGCTGCAGGTCAGCCGGCGCGCGTGCGCGCCTCTCCGCCGCCAGCTGAGCCTCCAGGTCGGCGATCATCTGTCGGTCCTCCTCGGCGAATTCTCTGCCCCTCGCCTGTTGCTCCCGGGTTATCCCGGCGATGAGCCGCTCCGCGTCGGCCTCCTCGCGGACGAGCCTCTCGGCCGCTCGCCGCCGCGCCTCGCACAGCCGGCCCTCCAGCGAAGCTTCGGCCTCAAGGAGGTCTGCGAGGGGAGGAGAGTCGCTACCATGGCCGATTGAGCTCGTGGCTCCTGCGGTAGCTGCAGCTGTCGGCGACGACGTCGGCGACGTTGGCGAGACCTCGCCTTGCCCACCGTTTTCGCCAGCGGGAGGTTTGTTGACCACCCAGCGACGATTGCCCCGCTGGTGCTCGCCGGACAGCGGGAATTCAAGGGACGGCGGATTGCTCAGAAGGTCCCACGGATCTTCTCTGTCTCTGAGCGCGGTCGGGCGGTTTGTTGGTTCACCGTCGTATAGCACGGCCGCCGTTGGGAAGTACGACGCGGAGTACCCCTTCTCTCCTGCTCCGCCTTTTTCGTCCTCGTCCCCGTGAGCCCTCCTCGTTAGAAAAGGTGCGGTCGTCGGCGCCACTTGTTCGACTGCCTCCTGTGGTGTGTTGTCCTTCCAAACCACCTTCGGCCGTCGTCGATAACCGTGCTCCGCTGCTAGGGGGCTTCCAACCGCTCCAGAGTCTCTTTCCCGGGCGTCGAGGGCACGTCTGTCTCTTCCTCTCCCTCGCCCACGGGCTTGCCGCCCCTCGTGCGGCTCGACGTCTTTGTCGTCGCCAACCCCGAACGCGTCGACACTCCTCGCTTGCCTGCGGCTGCTACCGCTCCGCCCCCCGACCGTGTGGTGGGCGCCCCTCCCACGGCCGGCGGCATTGACGGCGCCCGAGGTTGCGGCGTGACTTCTCTTGATCGGGCTCGTGTTCGGGGTACGATGTCCAAGGGCGACGCTCGCGGGCAGGGTTGGTATCGACAGGTCTCTAGGGAACGGCGAGGCGGCCGCCTGCAAACCGCTTCCTTCTTGCTCGGCGACTTCTTCACCGATTCCGTCGCAATCTAGCCGCTCTTTCTCTTCTCGCCTGCGGCGGTCGGCCGACATTGCGGCATCGTCTCCCTCCGAGTCGTCGAAATCGCCCGTTCGGGACGTTGCTACCTCGGCCGCATTCGCTGGGCCGCCGCCCCGCTTGTTCACCCTTGCGACCCACTCGCCGGACGGGTACAGTCCGAGGGTTGCCGCTCCCTCGGCCTCTCCCTGAAGCACGTCGACCTCGTCCACGCCAGTGTACGCTGGCGTGGGCTTCGCCAGCACGTCCAGCAGGTCGATCACGGCGCGCTTGCCCTCTTGGCAGACCTCGTGCCCCGCCCGAACCCATGCCACGAACGTGCCGCGGGGCCTGGACATCGCCCGCAGGAGGTCCGTTAGCCCCTTCCGCCCGTACACGGATGACCCCCTCGCTGCTTCTGCTGCGGCGGCGGAAGATGTTAGCTCGCTGTCGCTGCCGGCACCACTTCTGCCGTCGCGAAACTCGTGACTCCAGAAATGGTGAGTGCTGCTCCTCCCACGCAGAAAGGGATCGACGTTTGCGGGGTTAACGAGCATGTCCTCGGTGGACTGGAGGAGGACGATCGGTACGCCGAGAGCTCCGACCTCCGCTGACATGTCCTCGTGCAAGAGGGCTGAGTTGCACAACAGGTGCCGACCCTCGAGGGACACCGGATTGGCTACGGCGGTGTAGATTCCAAGGGCGAGGTCCCTGCCCACCTTTCGCAGGTAGTCGTCGCTGAAAATGTACCTGCAATGCAGTCCAGTGCGTGATGTATGTTATAGGGCTGGAAAGGGGGGAAGACGATCGAGGGAGAGGTGCAGCGTTTGGGTGCTGTGGTAGCGTGGCGTAGATAGGAGTCGGGAGACGACGGTGCCGTAGCAGCTGAAGCAAGAGTCGCGTTTTCCCCTAGCGGGATAAACACCGAACGTAGTATCTACCGTGCGGAGCGTAACTATGCTGTGGCAGCGCAGTGTAGCCAGGAGTTGGGAGAGGACGCATGCCGTAGCAGATGATACAAGCCCCCCTAGAGGAATACCCACAAACGCCGTGCTTCTATGGTGCGGGGTGTAGTTTCAGTAGATGGAACACGGAGAAAACGGTCTAAGCTACTCTCCACGACGCCGAGGTTTCAAGCCGTAGACAAGGGCACACAAACGTGTTTTCACCGAGACATGAACGAGACGGGTAGGTCCGGCCTTGCCGGCGGCAAGGTGGCGAAGGCGTTGAGCGAAGAGTGCAGAATAGCTGCGAGCTGCGAGTCCACCGAGGAGAAGCCATTGATGCTAACGACAGACCGGATGCTGGAACGGTAGAGAGGATGGTCGCCGTAGCGGAGTGCAAACGCGGAGGCGGTGGCCATCCCGTTCCCGATGCCAACCTGGGCATATCACAGTAGGCATCGACAGGCGCATGCGTGTTCTGCTGAGGTAATCGGAAACAGGAATAGGCTCTTCCCTACTGACGTTGTCGGGAAACTTCAAGGAACTGTCTCTGTTTAAGGGTATCAAACGCAGCCCCAAGGCGGCGTCTGGCCTTACCTACTGACGTTGTCGGGTAACTTCAAGGGATTTTCTCCGTTTAAAGGTATCAAACGCAGAATGCAAAATACCTAGGCTCTTACTTTGAAGAAGAGCTACAGCGTGAAGAACTGTGTCTTACACCATGACATAAGACATGGGTGAGGTAGGCGACGCTATGGTGCTGTTCTTAGAGGGGGGGGCGTGAAAGGTGTTGAGCGCGTATCTCGACGAGACACCGCTGGCCATGCCCTTTTCCTGGGTGTACAAGGAACACAATTCGGTTTCTGAGCTCACCAGGTGAAACGGTGCCGTGAGACTCATCTCTCCGACCGAGTGTACGTGCTGAAGGAGTTCGTGCAGCCTGGGAGCAAGAAAAGCGTTGTTCGGGACTTCCTTCCTCACTTTTTCACCCCCACCACCACTCCCGACACCACTATGCGAAGAACCCAGCCCGTGTGCCCCGCCTCCGTTCGATCGTGTTGCATTTCCCTCCGGTGACGCAAGGGCGACCATGGACGGTGGCACCCTGAACACCGTGCCGGCTTGACCGGGGTAGCTGAACGCGAGCACTCGGCAGCCGCGGTGCTTGCGGGTGACTGGCCTGAACAACACCTCAGTCTTGTCCACGTTGTCGAAAAAGTCGTGCACGACGACGAAGTTGCATGACTCCGCGATGCCTGACGACGTCCCGGGGTTCCCGCACACCCTGTACGGCAAGCGTGTCCTCCCGTCCGAGCAAACAAAGTGCTTCCCCGAAGAAGCCTCTGGCGCATCACACTGGCCTGCGTTCGCCAACCGTCCGGATGCAAACGCCTGCGCCGCAACTCGGTCACCCAGGTTTTTCTTTCTGCGACACGGCGATCGCTTATCCGAGGACGACGCTGGTGCTCCTGAAGTAGCACCTACAGCATCGTCTCGGTCGCTCGACACTCCAAACCCAGAGTTGGCTCCTCCGCCGAGTTCTGGCGAGGCAGTAGCGGGCCCAAACGCCCCGAAGCCCACGGTGGAAGTTCGCTCGGGGGACACTGAACTTCCTGCTTCCCTGCCGCCTCTGCCGTTGTTGCTCGGCACTGCCCTGACCGCGTGATTCTCCATTCGACACCGTCTCCTCCCAGCCGGGGCGCGGGAAGAGCTCGCCCACCTAGTCCGCCTGGGAGATTTCTGTTTCGGGAACGGCTGCTGCCGCTGAACAACAGCGATGCCCCTGTGTTTCCTGACATGGTCATACCCCCAACGTCTGATGTCGCCGTCGACTGGGACGACGTTTGTGCGCGAATGACCGCTCCCGGTCAGCCACCGGTTCGCCTGAAATACGCCGAGAACCCACAAGCAGAGGTTCCCCGCCGCATTGCACAGGGGGCGCACGACGGCCGGGTCGAGGCTGGATCGTTCGAGAGCCGGACCCAACGAGCTCAACTGCTGAGGGGCTACCGCGCGCGGGTCTAACGCTCGCAGGCGCGGGAGAAGATCTGCACGGCACATCGCCGCTCTAGCTATCGCCCAAGAGACAGGCGCAGCCGCAGCTTTCTCGGTAGTCTTGCCTTCTAGCAAAAGTAGGGCGATTGAAACTACGTGCACAACGGCGGAAGGGGGGCGCGCGAGCGAGCGCAGCTCAGAGATGTCGCCCTGAGAAATGACATCCATTGCCCGCCTGGCTTCTGACAGTGACACCGCCAAGGAGGAGTGCTCGTGGCCTTCACTCGACGCGGAGACCGCGGGGACACTCTCCTCCGCTGCGATGGGGCTTTCTTTGTGCCCACGTCCGTCCTTGTTATCATTCTCGCCAGCTCTCGTGAGCAACATCTTCGCCGTTGGCACGCTCCCAGCACCCTTCCCGTCGCATGAAGGCTGACCCAAGGTGAGTCTCGGGGTGGGGGGGTGGCGCCGGTCTCCACCGCCGGCACAGCAGGTACGACTCGCCGTCCGCAATGCTCGAGCGCGTGCCTCGTCCAGAAGAGTGTACACCATGTGACAGTTCAAACACACCTTGACCGGCCGGTAGTACACACCAGGATATTTTCCGCCCACCAGGTACGGTTCGTCCCCTTGGCCACCGTCTAGATACCTGTGGTAAGCACCGTCCTCACCCCGGGCGTATCGCCGCAGAAACGCCTCGACCAACGGCCGCTCCTGCCGGGCCTGCACTACCGCCTTGTACGGTATGTCGAGCCGCTCGGAGGTAGCGTCTGTATGCCGTGCTACTCGTGGACCACGACCCCCCTCCCTAACCTCGGCGGGTGTGGCCGATGCCGATGGACCATCTCCGAGGTCCCCACTCTCCATCGAGAGGATCTTCCGTCGGAGGGTGGAGAGGCTCTCGACTAGTCCGTTTGGGGCTCCTGCCGCCCTAGCCGCCTTTTCGGCAAAACGCCGGTGATTCTCCTCTTCTCGGACCCGCTTTCCGACGTCGAAGTCGCAGAAGTCACCCCTGCAACCCTCAAGCTAGAGGCAGCACGAGTGGTGGGAGGGTGAATTTGGACGACCTGAGTGCATGAACTGTTGCATGCTCCCCAGCCAACGGCACATCGGGCGCTAAAATTCCATGCATTCGCGGACACGAGCACATGCTCACCCTCGCAACTGGACATTATGTACCATAGACATGGTTTCCTCCTCACATCCTGCGCAGCCTGGTGAATAACATTTGAGTAGGAACTGCTTGTTGACATAATCACTGGGGATGGAATGGGCCCACGTTTTAAGATAAAAAAAAGTCCGGCAAGATTCCTGCGCAGTAGATCAACGAACTTGGTGCAGCCTCTTTCACTAGAATGAGGTCAAGGCAAGCACTGCTTTGTGTCCTCCGCTATTTTTTTCTTCCACATAGTGGCACACCTGAGTACTGCCGTAAATCCGATTGGTTGCAGCCTGGTCCAGCTTGGCGACGGACGAGTCGAAGTGCTCGGTAGACCGCGGAGGGGAAGGAGACCGACTTGCTGCACCGCTGCCGCCATCTTTGTCGCCGAAATCGCTTGTTGCAGAGCCTTCTCCAGGACCCGGATCAGCCCAATCGGAGGACGCCATGCCTGCATGGACAGCTTCCCGGCTTCCGGTCCTTTGCGACCGAGTCCCGGTGTTGGGCAGCACCCGCTGCGACAAGGCCACCGAATCGCCGTCTGTTTCTCGAGCTCGGTATTCATCGTTGTCATTCCGGGGGATGGTGCTGCTTCGACTGGTTGAGTCAACAATTGGACGCGGACGGTGGCGGCGGCGGCGGGCGACCGCTCGGCTCTTCTCTGGGAAGTGATACCCAACACTCCGCAGTAGTTGAGAAAACTTTTCATCCCCTAAAACGCCAGAGATCTGGTCGGCCTCGTGTTTCCTGTGGCGCAACTCTGTGGCAAGTGTGCGCTCCTCCTCTTTCAAGAAACTCGCCCCTTGTGGGCCGTTGTCGCCTAGTTGCTGCGCGCCAGAAATCGTGGATCTTGCCGCGACCGTGCAGCAGGTAACCCCGACCAGCCACAACTCATCGTTTCCGTCCAAAACAAACTCGGTGTCGAGGCGCAGCACACGGCAGAGCTTCGATCGCTCGATGGCAATCACCACGGACCTTACCGTGGCTACCACCTCTGTATTGATTCTCGCGTTTTTGCTCAGCAGGAGGTTCTGGCGCTGCGCGCCGGCGCCGGCGCCCTGGCCCTGTTTGCTGCCGGAGGTTTCCAAGGCAACGCGCCTGTGTGTGGTGCCAGTCGAGACCCCACCCCCGGTATCATCGAGTATGTACTGGTGCTGGTAGTTGGCGAACTCGGCGGTGATGTCGAAGTCCTTAGCTCCCTTGAAGGGGTAAATACAATCAAAGTCGGCCGGAACAACGCCGCCCTTGACGATGGTATGGAGCATTTTGGACGTAATGGGGAAGTATTCCCCAGTCTTCCTCCGTGCCATGGCGATCACTTGTTCCGCCGTTTGAAGCGTGGAGTCTCCAGGACCACTGCCATGACCGGCATTCTTGTTGAAGGTGGTTGCGCGAGACCTGAGCTCTTTCTCGATCGCCTTGAGGCTAAAGATGAAAGTATAGCGGTGGCGTGGGGTGGGGTTCACAGCTAAACAAATATGTATTTTAAGGAAATGCCCAGTTGTTAGGAAGATATGCTCTTGATGACGACGGTCTGTTTCTTTTGTGGCTGCAGGCAGCTACTATTATTTAGACCTACAGTCCTTGATCAGTGTTGGCATTCTATTGGTGCAGTGTATGGAGACACTCGCATGCGTTCCACACTGGAAAAGTCTTATGGAAACATGAAGGATTGTTGCCGGTTGGATGGTCCCGCGCATCTTGCAGCACCGGCATACCGCTCAAGGACTTGGTGGGTGTTTTCCCAGCAACAATCGTCTGACACTACAACCTCAAAAGCACTGACCTCAAAAAGCGTTCGCCCTTGCGCCGTACGGTTCCGTCAGCGGCCGTGAAGAAAAAAATTTCCGCCTGCCCCCCTCCGGTGCCGTCCAAGAGGACGGTATCCAGCATCTTCACCCGCGGAGCCGGATCGACGCTGCCGGTCCGCGTTGAGAGACAACCCAGCACGAACCGCCATGGTGATTCGATGGAAGTGCGCGTTCCTGAGAGCATTTCAGGGGGAGGCAAGACATCCCTAGCGATGTCGCGATGCGTTCCTGATCCGTCTTGCCCCGCATTTCGACGTCGGCGGAGCCCTCTCTCCCTCTCTGGCATCCTGTACACCTCTGCCCCGTGGTTCGATAGGACGGCAGAGAGACACAGCAAAGCAGGAGACAACAGAGAACATGAGCGCCGATGCGCGTTCTAGTAGACGCGGGCTAACTAAAAAATTGCCGAAGCGGCATTGTTCCTCCCGCATGTGATGCGAGGACCACAAAAAAAAAAATCATCCCGAATCGCCTGGGCTCCTAGGCTCTATCAAAGGCAGCTGCGCAGCTACAGCAACCCCTACAGCCTATGGGGTTCTCACCATCTCGTCTCTGAATATGTCGAATCCCTGCACACAGGCCTGTAGGCGAGATGGTGATCAATGCACTACAGGCACACAGGCTACAGCTGCACAAGTGGTTCGGAGGGGGGGTCCCACACAACTGCGACACACGGAACCCCGGGTCTGCTGGGTCTGTCTCTCAAGTCTGTCAACCACAACCCCCGCGCTGTCAGCAGCCGGGTTGAACGGGAAGCTGGTGTCTCGTTCGATCTAGGTCACCAACGGAAGTAGGTGAACATCAGATCGAAGTACGACGTGGAGGGTAACCCACAACGCCAAACTATGGGAGAGGACAAAGTGAAAGATATCACCGCAGGGGAGGTGGCGGAAGCACCGGCGGCGGAACCAAGCACAACAGCAGGTAAAGGGGTCGACAGCGGTAGCGACGGCCAGCCATCGGCGGCCCCGCCAGCACCACCGACGCAAGGAGACTCCGACAGCGTGAAAGATGCGTCTACGTCGTCGTCTTCGGAGAAGAACCCGTTCGATCAGTACTACGCTCAGCTCACCCACCAGCAGAACATGCTTCAGGACAGCGTGAGAGTGACGGCTTACCAGCGAGCGATTTCGGAGAACCGCGCAGATTTCAAGGTGAGGAGGCATCGCGAGAAGCATGTGCATGATCATCGCAACATCCTATGGTCAGAGCCAGAGATTGCTGTAGAATAGGATCAGGGGAAGTGGGCGAAGGCATAGAGTTGGGCGCTGTTGTTGAACAGTTTTGTTCCCGGGGGCGAGTTTGCGTATGGGGGTCTTCCTGGTTCTCCCTGTGGTTCTGCGGGTTCTCCTTGTAGTTCAGAACTCAGAAGTGGCCAGCAACCAGCAACAGCAACATGACTTCGGGACCGCCTTCGAAAGGATGTTAGTATTATTCTATGAAATAGAGAGGAGGGTTTCGTACCCTCAACTACAACCAAGCTCAATGTACTCGCCAAGGCTACGGGGACTGATTTCGGCCAATCGGAAAAACTCGTGTGTAGCAAAACTCCAGATAGAGCCTTGCTAGAGCAGCCCAATCGCCAAAGCCTCTGTAGGTAGTACTGGCGGCCTTGGCCTGCTGTGCATTCTTCATCCGGACAAAAAAAAAACACCATTGACCACTCTGGGAAGCACAGCTGCGGCATCCCGGTAGAAGCAGCACACCTTTCCCTTCGCAACGAATGCGGTCAGCAGTCGTTTTGCCCGTTTGCTCATCCCCCCCCCCCCACACACACACCCTCGCGCGCTCTCTTGTGCGTGCCGTTACAAAACAGGGTAAGGTGGTGCTGGACGTGGGGACGGGGAGCGGGATCCTGGCCTTCTTTGCGGCGCAGGCCGGTGCGCGGAGGGTTTACGCCGTGGAGGCCAGCGACGTCGGTGAGCTGGAAAAATCCGGGGGAAATCCGTGCGTTGTGGGGTCGATGGACCGGGGCTACTGCAACTGCTGTTGCATGCACGCGCCGTTGTCCGTGTGTCGTGTGCTACAGGACTGTGCATATTTTGCTGCTTGATCAAAACATTTCCATCCTTTACCAAGACTTGAACCTCGGAAGAACCATGATAGATCGGTGTGGTAGTGGTATGTGACAGAGCTCCGGCTCGCACTGCTGTGACAAGGCACTACTAAGGGTTTCGTGCTTCATTTTGTGCGGCCATTTTTCCGGTGCGGTGCAGGTTGTGCCGTGACATTTAATTTTAAAAACTGTCCTGACCCCGAACCCATGAAAAAACGGTTGCCTACATGCGGTGCAAGTTATTCCACGCGGCGTGCATCGAAAAAAGTCAAGGAACCTGAACGATCACGGCAAGAACAACAAGACAACTCTGCGTGGAATCACAGATATCAAAAAGGAAGAATTGTAGCTGTCGTAGAGCGCAGGGCGGTGTTCGGTGTCATGTGCACCTATGCAGATCTTCAAAGGGGGCAAAACGCGTGGATTTCAACGGACGCCTTGCTTGTGGCTCACCAGCTACCAGTGCTGTGAGTAGCCTTTGGTGCGCTAACCTCTGGCACACGACCCTCTTTGTTTTATCTTTCAGCACAAATGTAGCTCGGGAGGTTAGCTGATGCAGCGGCGGCGGCGGCGGCAGGGGGGCTAGCTTACCCCCAAACCTGTGCGACCACTTTTCTGAATCGCTGAATACACAACAAGCCTTGCACGTGTCCCACCGGCGCATTTCCCTCCTCGCCTTCCTGTGCGTTCCGTAGTCATCAACACATCCCTGGCCGTAGCCGAATCCTACCACCCCAATATGTCGGTAGTTCCCGCGTCTATTGCCTTCCCCTCGTCTCTTTCTCTCTGAAGCCCGGCTTCCTTTACTCCGCCATCGCCTTCCTAGCACCCGCATGTACAGACGTGTGGACGTTCGCAGGCTTTGGCTGGTTCTCATTTGTCCCGTCGTCGTCGTTGTTGTTGTTGTTGCTGCTGCTGCTGCTGCTGCTGCTGTTGTCGGCACGCCCTGATAGCTGAGGCGGCACAGCAACTGGTAGACGCAAACCACATGTCGTCCATCATCAAGGTTATCAAGGGGAAGGTGGAGGAGATTGAGCTTCCCGAGAAGGTTGACGTCATCGTGTCCGAGCCCATCGGGTTCCTGCTGGTAAGCACTCCCTGGCCTCTGTGATCCGGTACCCAATGCGCTTTTTCCCTGTCAGATGTTGTTGCTGTTGTTGGTTTTGGCGGCGTGATCGTGCCCTTGCAGTGGTTGCTCATGCCACTGCTGGTGTGGGTGGATTCTGGTTATTGTGGCGTTGAAAGCTGTGTTGATCCCCACCCTTTCTCTCACGATGCTCCGTGCTGATGTCAATTATTCCTTCCTTCCGTTGACGTTTGCAACAACAAACCGGAGTTTTCCACCTGTCTGCTTGAGTCCCGCCCACGCGGATGGTGTTAACGAGGCGGAAAAAGCTGATTTAAGCCGCAGTGTTGAGTCTGTTGCTTGTCGTAAGGGCATTACACTTTGTTAACCATAGCGGCCTGCAGGGGGTGAGGAGAACAACTGCATGTTGGCTTGCCTTGCTTGGCAGCAAACCTGTTGTCATACTCGGAGTGCAAAGTATATCCTTGACGTGTACTGTGTCGGTGATCGTACTGCTGCACCTGGCACCCAGAAGGAACACCTGGCAGTTTCGGGGGCTATACTCTAATTTCTTCTCAATCTAATCTAGTCTCTTCTCTCGATATGTTCTCGTGGCATGAGCACGTGTTACGAGCGTTGCGACTTGAATCTCGAGCGATTCTCGACATTAACAACGGCACATACCGTAAACTACGGAGTTTTCCCCCCGGGGAGGGGATCGTTTTTTTTTTCTGAAACCAACCCCCCCGGGGGGTAATTGACGTACCGGGGGGGGTAGTTTTTTTTTCCAACGCTACCCCGGGGGGAAGCTCCCCCCCCGGGGGGTTGTGCAAAATAATGATGGTCCACACACCACACACACAGAGAGAGAGAGAGGCGAAACTGAGATGGATAAGGTTTTTGTCGGGTCGCAAAAGAGGTAACGTTGCCTAAGCTCATGCACAAGAATTCGCAGTTTGTCCGCAAGAATAAGTTATTTTTATGGTTCAGTTCTACCTTGAGTTGTGAGATCCAAAATTGAATACGATTATTTGTTCGCTTTGTGCGCAAGGTTTCGTCAGAGCATGCTGTGGTACGTTTTAGCTGATTCCAGGGATGATAAATTCAAGAAATAGAAAACGAGAGCATTTCACCCATGAAACAACTGCGAGGGCCAAGTGACAAACGGTAGACATAAACCTCGCTCGAAGCGTAGATCTGCAAATGAGTTTTCCGTCCTGTATCATGCTTTTTGTGCTCCGCGATGCAACAAAATCGACTCAGAAAATAAGGGAAATACATCCCCCCCGGGGGAACTCGTGGGAAATTGGCACCCCGGGGGGAAATTGAAATACCGGGGGGGGCTTTTTTGTTTTTGGTCGAAAACGATCTACCCCGGGGCTAAATCAACGAAACCATGCTTCCAGGCCGAAAAGGTAATGGGGGGGGGAGAAATCTGTACTAGGGGGGGGAAACTCCGTAGTTTCAGTACTGTCTGCTGTACTTAACCCGCCCGGGAAAATATTTTGAGCCACAATTAGCAAACCACGAAGGAGCGATTGCGCATCGACCCTGTCGGAACAACGCTCCGCCCTCTCGACGCGTGGTCCATAGTCCAACAACTAAGGCATGCGAAACGTGATAGAGTACAACCCCATCTGACGTGCGCGCTCGCTTGGCTGCTTTGGAACCGGCAAAAAAACACGGGGGGCATGCATGCGCACGTGCGCCCGCACAGGTTCACGAGCGCATGCTGGAGTGCTACGTGAACGCCCGGGAACGGTTCTTGAAGCCGGGGGGGAAGATGCTGCCCACGCTGGGGGAGATCGTGACGGCCCCCATAACCGACGAGACGCTTCCCCGGGAGCAGGCGCTCAAGGCCTCTTTTTGGGAAACCCAAAATTACTAGGGGGTGGCCCTATCCATGGGAGGGAACCCCGCTCGCTTTCCTGGGGGGGGGGGGGCAGTACTTTTATGTTTTGCGTGTCATAGCGGTCGTCCCGGTGGGGGGGGGGTTACGCAATGGTGCGGTTTGGTGGCAAAGAAATTGTCGGAGCAGTAACCAGAAACGGGTATTCGCGGGTGATACATATATCACCATCCGGGTACCGGTAAACCTCAGCACGAATGAACCCACAGGGATCCATCTGATAAAAATGAAGTGAAGAAAAAAAATAATGAACCCCGGCCTGTTGGAGAAGACCTTTAGATAAGGGTCACGTCTCCCCAATGTTGGTCGAGAGACGATTCCTTCTTCTCTCAACACGCCCATGTACCCGTACCATGACTGTCCTGTTTCTTCTCGTGCCCAGCTTGCGCCAGAAAGGCCTGGCGGAACACTTCGGACAGCCAGTAGTCGGCTACTTCTACCCCACGAGCATCATCTCGCACGACCGGGGCAGGCATTTGGTCGACTTCGCTAAGGCCTCCACCGAGGAGCTCGTTAGTTTTACGGTGCCCCTTAGGTGAGATTATTTTCTTTTTTTTCATATCAGCGCTCGCAACGTTTGCTGCCGGGTGAGAGCTCCAACCCGTGGTCACACAAATTGGAGAAGAAACTTGACGTCGAGTAGCTGTGAGTGTGTGGTGATGTTTGGTCGAAGAGTAAAGAATCACCGCCGATTTTCACCTCGACAGGAGCAGACCAACGTCCCTTGCACGCCCCCCCCCCGCCACCCCAGTTGTGACCCCCTCCCCCATGTGAAACGTTTGGTTTGGCGGGATGCCCAATCAACCCACGGTATATCTTTTTTGCCATGGCGAACGCAAGTATGATGACTAGCTTCTGGTCCATCCTTATGGAACGTAGCCGGGGCCGGCCGGCGGAAACCCGCCGTATCGCTCCGTCCCGGCATCGTAGGGATGCGAGGTCATAAGGTCTAACGACTACGGCATGCGTTTACATGAGTACCCCCCCCCCCCCCCCGCTTCCAAGTTCCCCTGTCCCGGACTTTTTGGGATGCGAGGGCTATGTCCCGCGCATGCGTTTTCATGGGTACACCCCCCCCCCCCCGCCCCCCAGTTGTGAACCCCCCCCCCCCCAAAACACCCCCCCCCTGAAAGGGTTTCCCGGAAAAAAAACTCCCCGTGCCCCGGGCTTGGCTGCCGGTTC